AAAAAAAAAAAAAAAAAAAAAAAACTTACCGTAGTATAGCAGAATATACATCACAGCGGATACCTCCAGTGCAGTACATCAATATATCAGTTCTCTCCTTATCAACAGCTGCTAATGGATCTGAAGCAATCACCTGCAGAACAGGATGGCAAGATATTAGTTATATCTACAGACAAAAGCACATTCCAGGATATTGTCTTGTGCACGAGGTGACAGTCTTTAAGTTCTATATTAAGCATACAGAGGACATACAACCAAGGAAAATAGCAGCATGCAGCAGTGCAACTATGAACGAGAATACAACGGAAACAAATATCAGGATATTATGGAAGCAAGGACCAGATTTCACATCATCCCAATAGGTTAATTCTAGCCAGATACATTAATCATTAATGAAGAGAAGAAACAAGAGAAGCGCTGAGAAGGGAAGTGTTCTCCTGCATTATACTATGATCGACATGCAAAACCAATACTTACAGCTTTTGGTCAAGTAATGGGATCAGAAAGAAAGCAAGCACTTCAATTTATGTAAAAAGTAACAAAAAATTAAATTTCCTAGCATTTGCTTGGACAACAAGACAGAAATTGGATAATAAATTGCTAAAACCTCTGAGTCAGATTGCCCAAATGAAGTGGACCGAAAACAATCAACATCCGGTCGCTGAGCGCCTTGAAAATGCCCAACATCCCATTCATAACCTTCCGGAAAATCAAACTAGAATCTATTAGCACAAAAGGCACTTGAAATATTCAATTATGCAAAAGAAATAGCAAAGACGATAGCTGACTTTTACAGAGAGCATAATAAGATGTTTCACTTTAAGCGGCTTTTTGGTTTATATAAATGACATGGAATGGGACTAGACTGGTCTAATCATAGATTTAAAACGTAGAGCATGAAGCTGTACGGGGACAATTACAAGTGTTAGCATTTAGAATGTTAGAATCACTGTTAAGTGTTGATATTAAGTTAGTTATTGACCAATTAAATATAAGATGTGGATTGTATATCACACATAAATAGGTGTCTTTTATTCCATATTCACACGTCATCAATATATCTCCTCTTCTCTTATTTCTTGCGTGGTATCACAGCTAAACATTGTGATAGAGACTTAAGTAGCTTCCAGATATTCCTCAATGGTGGGATAAAATAATCCCATGAGGGGGCTGGGAATATCTGTACTTCTACAAGAATAACAGTTTTATTTACCTTGAGCAGGGTGAAACTTGAACAACCAGCATCAAGAGTTGGCCACATTGTTTAATCAGGCCAACCCCATATATATGACATCTCCAGAGCGTTCAAAGAAATACCAAAAATGCAGTAACAAGCAACAGAAGAATACTTACCATTTCTCACATCAAGAAGTATACAACTGGGATTGATGTTTTCATGTGATGAATTATTAGTGTTATTTACAGCTTCCAATCTATTCCTCCATTCAGATGGTGCCAAAGGTTCCGCTCTCATCGATGGATCAAGCAAAGGAAGGTGAGAAATCCCTCCTTCCAACTGTTGACAAAATGTTAGAAGTATCAATATAAGCCTTAAAAACCAGAGAAAAGATATATTAATGTATACATTGGTCCTCTATAAATGGATAAATTTTCCTCGAGTCCCAAGCTATAGTTAAAGGCCCCCTTGAACCTCAGAAAAGCACTACTTATGCAGATGCTTTTCTATAAGGAAATCATAAGCCTACTGTCAATAGGAGCTACTTATGCAGATGCTAGGACGTGCCCATATGAACCATCAATCCCAACTTCTTTTTAAATATCTTTGCTGACCTTCAAGTTTCATTTAACATCTAAGATTTCCCCAAATTAAGAAAGATGAGGTAATTTGAAAATACAGACCCTATAGGTTTTTATTGTTTCAAGAACATTTGAATTGTTAATTGCTTGTGCAAACCTCTCTAAGAGCAATCTGAAATCAAGTATCTACCTCCTCTATAGTCAATCTTAAATTGAAATCCTTTTCTGAGCTTACCTCTCATAAGATCAGTCTTAAAGTGGGTTATTCTGCTGACACACTTCGACTTTGGTACTGATCATTGATCAATTGATCACTTGAGAAAACAACATCTTGGGAAAGCTAAGCAGAAATACTATATTACTAAGTCCATTACTTCATTTTGCTCTCTTTGATCTATTTCTTTAGCTGGCCGAAGGGTATAAAATAATATGACAGTTTTAAACCAAAAAAAGTTGATCAAATAGTCATATTGTCAGGAAGAAAGAACACAGAAGCTGATGAGTTTGTTGCCTGCCCGCAAGAAGACATAATCCTGGCCAAAGAGGCTGCTATATCAAACAGAACAAAGCGCAAATCTAAACTAATAAGCATGTCCTTACATTATACATAATATGACAATTTCAGTTATTGGGTGGGAGTAATAAAATCAAAATTTAAACTCTATCAATTCACATGTCATGAAGAGAAGATATCCCTTAAGTTACTATCCATGAAGTAGCTGGTGAGCCAGACAAGCAGGCAACAGCATGCAGGAATGAGACAGTGCGAGACTTGCCTGTACAAGAGAGGGCTTATAACGCAACTTCAATCTTGGAAAGGTATGCCCGTTTGATGCTGGCGAGATCTGGACCAGTACATCAGAAAATCTGAGGTCTTCCCGCACCCAATTAACGTAAGCAAGAGCATCTTTTTTTGGTCCACTGTACTGCACCAACAGGAAGTATCAGAAGACAGAATAACTTTGTTTGACTTATAGCTGGCAAGGGGGATTTAGAGTGGCCTGTAGCAACACTGAGCTGGTGATCTAAAGAATTTTCAGTTCAGAACCACAGGAATATGATTTCTTAGGAAAAGATATACTTTGAGGACCATGAGGCGTGCTAATCAATAAGACATTAACCTATCCTTTCTGCGCTCATTTAAGGAAAAAATAAAAGGAAAAAAAGAACTAACTTTTGGGTGGATTGGATAGTAGCTTCCTAATATATTCTAACTTTGCACCTTCTTCTTGCTGATCCAAGCATTCAATTTTACATTTTCTTAACAGGTACGCCCTATCTTGCTTCATATCACTCTTTCTATCCTTAATTGGATGTCTAGCTTTCCTTTTATGTCTGTCCTAAAATTATGTTCACTCTACTCAAAGAAAAGTTCAAAACATATTATACTACACAAATTCCATGGATCCTATTCCAACACTTATCAGCACATCATTTTTCCAACCTTAAAAGAAAAACTCAAAGCCTAATTAATGGGCACCCAAATATTTTTTTTAATAAGTGTGATATCCGGATCAGCTTGCGCACCTCGACTAATTCCACGGGGTACCTACTACCTCCCACCAGTGCGGGTACCGAGTGTCCATCCACTAATGCTTGGACAGATGAGAAGAAATCACCTAGTGTGTTTGCCTCCATTGGAATTTGACCAGAGACCGCATGGTTCCCAACCCACTTCATTTACCACTATGCCACACCCTGAGTGCAAAATAATAATAATAATAATAATAATAATAATAATAATAATAATAATCATAATAATAATAATNTCCGCATGTCCCTCCCACCAAGTATTAAACTATGAACGTTTTGAGCTCTCAGCTGAATATTTAATAGAAATACCAAGTAGAACCATGATATTCAAATTTTTGGTTAAACAATAGCAATGCCCAAAGCAGAAAACACAAGGGTAAGAACAGTGAGATAGTAACAAACAGTCCTACCTGTGCATTAATTCCCTGTTGGTTTAAGTATATGCGGCCATGCACATCTCGTCCCTGCATCAAAGAGAAATATCTGTTATAATAATCTGACTGAAAGAGCACTTTAACACATAATCAGGCATTGCACTGATATACATGCAGTAGTATGTTGTACGGAAAACCTATCAACATTTTGGAGCCAAGGAGTTTTACAAAATAATGATCTGAAGTAAAATGATCTCAATTGAAAAGAGCTTGAAATCCAAGCCAGTAATAATTGATAAACTTTGTATGCAGCATAATCCATGACCCCTTAAATTGCTTCTCCGGGTTAAAGAAAGCAACTGTATTCCTTGTTTTGGAATACATGTGGCAAGATCTAGATTCAAAACATCAAATATTTAAAATAAAATATAACATGCAAAGTTAAGTCAAAATCTTCCTCTTCCTCAAGGTGAATGAAACTATAACTATATCCTCCACCAAAATTGGATGACATCTTAAATGAGCACCAAGTCTATCCTCTTTCACCAGTTTTATAGAATTCAAACCAAATAAAATGAAAAGCATATCTTAGAAAAGTCAGGCGGGTTGGAATACTTTCCAATCCAGGTGATGTTAACTGTTAGCACTAAAAACCTCTTATCGTTCGAGAATGCTTGAAACATTCCAAGACTAGAGTATGCAGATTTTATCATTCCTGAACCTGAAACTTATCAACCAGAAATTTGTTGTGAACATTTTAGATGTTTTATGATTCAACTAGGATTTTGCCCATTCTGTACTTCATACAACCATACATATAAATACAATTGATATGTCAAAACCAACTCAAGAGACGAGTGAAAACTTGAGGAGAAGTTTAATAACATATGTTACACTAGATAACTGTTCAAAGTATATCACCCATAAGGTTTTTCTACTATTTATTCTGTTCTTATGTGTTGGCAGCTGAAACTCACGGGGAGATTGAGCATTGAGCATGGTATAATGCAGAGGCATTAGGTATAATATAGAACTACCTACTTCCCTTGTTGGGCACCAAATATTCTGTGTTTCTGCCAGTTTGCGTTGCAGCTCTAAAATAAATGAGTAAAAGTGTTCCTCTTCATTTATTTTAGGTGTTTGTACGAGTCGGTTGATACAACTCAATATTATAGCAGCAAAGGTCCTAGGCTCAAGTAACAAAAATATTATGTGCCCAATAAAAATAAAAAGAATTAGACTCGTACTCAAAGGGTGTAGCCTAGCAGTCAATGAAGTGGGATGAAAAACCACGTAGACCTCCGCTCAACTTCCAGCCAAGGCAAAAAACATGTCTTTATAGGACTTGGGGACGGAGTGCCCCTGTACCTATGTTGGTGGGAGATAGCAGGTACTCTGTGGAGTAGTCTAAGGTATGCACAAGTTGGCCAACATTTTTTTTATAAACGTAAAAAGAATAAGACTCGCAAGTTCAGTGACTTGTTGTAGACCTAAAATGAATTGTCCCACTTTCATAGTTTAAACTTTTAAATGAGACGGTTAACACAATTCAGCTAATGAGCTCACAAAATAGTACTTACTTAGTCATTAGCTCCTAAATTTAGCGCCAAGAGGATTTTAAACTATGTAGCATCTATGGCATGAATTTAAACTGAAGGAGTTGGAGATAATCGGTATTTTGCATACGAAATGCTTAAGAATCATATCAATAAAGGCTCAAACTACATTTGCAAACCAAGTAGGACAGAATCACAGAATAAGAATACACAATTACCTCCATAAAGGAAAGGTGCTTGGTGACCTCCTCTTCGGGGTCCTTAATGAAAACAAAGCGGTAGAAATTTACCACTATAAACTCTTCCTCATCTGGTATTTCTTTTGAGGATAACGCAGCAGTACATACATTTTCTTTGCATTTCCAAGAAGAGAGACTTTTACACTTCAGTTGCCACACAAATGGCAAAATACTGTTCCTATTAGTCCAAGTATTTTTTGGGTTTGGGAGAAAAGCAGTAAGATTTTTGGGGAAAGATGCAGTGGGTTCGTTAGAAGCAAGTATAAATGGCTTCATGACTGTAAACGAGCTCATTGCCCAAATTCACACAAATAACTCAAATTTTTAGCTGTTTTCCTTTAGTATTCAACAACACATTGAAGAGGCTAAGGAATGGAACATTTTATGGATAACATATGAACTGACCAAGAAATTTCTTTTTCTTTTTCTTTTTCCTCTTCTTGAATAATTTCGAAACACTACCTATGATAATGGTAGTAGTGGCCCCTGAGAGTTATAGAAAATGCCGAGGAGTTTTATTTTGTGTGTTGTACAACTTACGCTAGTTATATGAGACTCCTTTTTGTCTCATAAATTTGTGGACCCCAATCTTACACTTTTGGTCTACAGAAATATGGGTCCACAAAACTATGAAACAAAAGAGTTACCTCATACAACTAATGTCAGTTGTATGATACACAAAATAAAAAATTTCGAAAATGCTCCTCCGATTTTGAATTTACGGTTTGATTTTGAATATTATTTTTTTTTTAAAAAAAATTATATCTAGCTCTAATATGTAACCTACTTATTTTTCAAAAGTATCATATAATTTCAATCCTACTGTTGAAACTTGGATTCTAGTCTAACTAAGGGCATAAAACAAACAGAATATGCAGGTCGGTACATTGCAATATAAGCTAGCATTCGCAATTGGGAGGTCCGTGGCTAAAAGATGGAAAAAAGGGGATTTAACTTATTTTACATTATTTTTCAACCTTAGACTTTATTGAAGTAATTTCTTGAGAGCTTTTTCTTCCCAAATTCATTAGTAAGCAACTCTAATTTATCCATCAATTTTCATTACTTTTCCATGAATTTCTTCATCAAATTCATGCATTTCAAGATATAAATTAGGGGTTATTTAGGAATTTCTTAAAATTGAGATTTAGACCTTAAATTTAGGTCAGATTTCGAAACAAATTACATAACCGGGCTCGGGGGTGAATGGATAATCGAGATTTAGTCTGAATCTCAGATTTTCGACCAAGCGGGCACGGGATTGGCTTTTGTTGACTTTTTAAAAAATGATAAAAATTGAACATTTTTTATTCGTGGCTAGTTTTTAAAGCTTGTTTTGAATTGTTTGATCGATAATTGGCTAGATTCAGTTGGTTTGGAGGCTTGTTCAAAAAGAAAATCCACGGTTGAATATTGATTTGATTGTAGAAAGAGGTAAGCGTTGTGGTTAACCTTAACTTGAGGAAATTAGAACGTAATTGGTCGACTTGCTACTTGATTTATGTGTGGGGATGGTGTATATGCAAGGTGACAAGAGTATCTACGTTATCATGGGTTAAGCATGTGGGTTGAGATATTTAGTTGTTTGTCTTCAGTCACTTCATACCTTCATTTATTCCATGCTATTGCATGTCATATACTTTAATTGTTACGTGCCCTTGCTTGTTAAATTTATGTTTTCGTTCTTTACATGCCTTAATTTGCTATATATTTTCATGTATCCATGTCTTTATTTATTGACTGCCTTCCATTGCCTTATGTTTTGTATGATACTAGATAGTCGCTTTTACCCGCCTTATGTCTTTATTTTTTTAATTTCCTTATTGCGTTTTCATTGTGAGATTCGGCGTAGTTGATTGTAGTTTTGTTCATTCATGTTATATAATTGGGATCAGGTTACATACCGCAACGGATATTGAAATGATATGTGGGATCGGGTTTCACACCGCAACGGTATTGATATTGTATTTGGGATCGAGTTGCACACCGCAACGGATATTGATATATTGTTTGGTATCGGATTGCACACCGTAATGGTATTCGTATATATGTTTGTGTGTGCGCACCTGTGGGGGGGGAGGGGATCGGGTTACGTGCCACATCGGAAAAGATATGTTATAATTGTTCTTGATTGTTGGTTCTATATCCTTGTGGTATTGTGAATTTGAGAATATGCGATATTCTAGGGCCCTTTGTTATGTATTTTCTGCTCTGATTTTCATGTTAATTCTTATTTCTTTATTCTTCTATTGTTACCATTTATTCTCGTACAGGTTTACAGTGAGTAACTTGTTATAGCATTGTCACTACTTCGACGAGGTTAGGCTCGACACTTATGAAGTACATGAGGTCGGTTGTACTGATACTATTGTGAGCACGTGATTTTTGCTCTATAATAATTACTCTCATAAATTCAAGAAAATAAATTTTTTCCATTACTTGCAATTTTTGTAGATTTTTCATAGGATTTTCGTTAATTGTTTGCATTTAGCTGTGCATGTTTATTTTATTTAAATCATGAAAAACATAAAAATACTCTACATTGCATTTGGGGTTTATTTTTTACATTTTAAAGTTAGTTGTTTTATAAAAATGAAAAATCACAACAATGGCTCACTTTTGTATTTTAGCCGTTTAATTTTAAATTTGTAGTTTTTCTTTTAATTTAGGAGTTAATCAATTTTTGTAAATATTATGATGGGTAATTAGCTTATTTTGTAAAGCATTAATTTAGGTTTAAATTAATTTGAAAAAGAAAAGAAAAAGGAGAAAATTGGAAATTGGAAAAAGTAAAAAGAGAATCAGAAATTAGGGCAATTTGGGCCAAAGTTTAATTGAGCCCAAACCCCACATAAATTCCGCCCAGGCCCCAGCCCAATTCCAGCCGAAATTCGGACCAGCCCCACCCCAGACCAAAACGACCCAGTTTTACCCTTTTCTCATCTCAATCGTTGGATCACATTGATCCAACGGACCAGAATGGATGCCTATAATGATATATATGTCGGAACCAGGTCCCCCCAGTCCACGCACCCTTCAGTTCTCTTCGTCTCCAACTCAAAACCCTAGAGATCTGCCGCCCTTAGACCCCAACTCCCCACCTGCCGGCGGCGATGCCATAAACCACTCCAATCCACCCAAAAATAACTTCCTGGAACCCTCTTCGTCCCCTCATCCTAAATCTCCCACCTGTTGCCTTCAAATCATAGTCGAGCCCTTTGAATTTTAGATCAAAGACCGGAGTTCCCTGAACCCTAATCTCGCCAAACATCTTCAGACTTTACCACACAACCACTTTCACCCTTCCTTACTAAATCCATCATTAATTCCCAAAAAATACCCTCAAACTCCCAGAATTTCGGATATGAAAAACCCTAGTTCTTTTAGGTCCAATTCTTTGGCTCTCGGAGTTCAATACGAATCAAAATTCGTGCTAGCCAAGCGTTCTCGTTGAGAGCCCTTGGTTAACATGAGCTTTGGTTCGATTTTGAGAGATTCAGTTGCTTGGTCGGCCCTGTTCCTTCCCCCTTTTGGTCGTTTGTTTGGATTCAAGTATTTCCCAGGCTTTGTCTGGTTAGTCATTCCCCCCCCC